AATCTAGTATGTCTAATATATTTTAGCAAATGTCTTAAATACTAAAATTGGAAAGTTTTGAATTATATTTTAACGCCAATTCTCATTAAATCTGCATTGGGATCTAAGTAAAGTATTGGGTTTGGTTAATTATTTCAAACTATTATGAGCCTCATGTAAAGTAACATTTCCAGTTGTCCTGTTTTATTTAAAACCTAATCAACTCTTTATATGAATGTAGAAAGCTTAAATATGGAAAATATAAATTTTTGAAAGTTCCATGTAAGTTATCATGGCTAAAAAAATCATCCCACATACAGGGTGTTTCATAGATCATGGGATAAGCTTGGAGGGGTGGTGGAATGTACTAAAACATGCATTTTTTGTATAGGAATGTAGGGTCTAAAGTAACGGTTTAAGGCAGGAACGCAAAAAAACAACACAAGAGGAAAATGTGTTTATGTACAAAATTCAACGCAAAGTGCTTCTTTACAGCAATACAGTATTCACAATAAATGTTCAAAAAAGGGAACACTAACAGTAATAGAAACTACAGCTGTGATTGGCTGGCAATGCAGCGGTAGAGGCGATAGTGAACCGGACAAACCACGATCCGATGCATCAGAGGATCATTTGCAGTTCTGATGTCGAGCTTGAATGGGTGAGTTTACGCACAGGAAAAATGCTGACATGCATCTCATGTATGGTGCTGCTAATGGGAACGGCAGAGCAGTGCTACGATTGTACCAGGAACGGTTTCTGAACAGGCGTATGCCGAAGCACACAAGTTTGAGAGGTTGCATCGGTCTCTGTGTGAAAACGGGTCATTTGAAGACACCTCTGACACTAGGCGTGGAAGAAGAAGTGCATGACAACCTCACATTGAAGAATCCATCTTGAACATTGTGCATGAATCACCTCAGACAAGTACAAGAGCTATTGCATGTCGTCTGAGTCATTCCACAGTTTGGAGAGTATTGCATGAAAATGGTTTGCGCCCATACCATTTGCAGAGAGTCCAAGCCTTGCAAAAGACAGATTACCCTCTTCAAGTTCATTTCTGTCATTGTTTCTTGCAGCAGTGTGAGGCACAGGCGGATTTCCCATCGGATGTGCTATTTACGGACGAGGCAACTTTCTCACAGGACGGCATCTTCAATAGCCACAACATGCATGTGTGGGCAACTCATAATCCACACGGCCCACGTCCACATGCATTCCAAACCCGATTCTCCGTGAATGTGTGGGCAGGTATTGTTAACAACTATCTCATAGGCCCATACCTCTTACCTGCACGTACCAATAGCTTATGTTATCATATTTGTTTACAAGAGGTGCTACCAGAGGTTCCGGCTCTCGTTCGTGATCGCATGTGCTTCCAGCATGATGGTGCACCAGCCCATAACCTTGTGCGGGTCCGCAATTACTTCGATAGGACATTTCCAGGCCGATGGATTGACTGTGGCAAACCCATTCGATGGCCACCCTATTCTCCAGATTTATCCAGCTTGGATTTTTTTTTATTGGGCCATCTGAAGAGCATCATTTACGAAACTCCCGTTGACTCACTGAAGGACCTCGCTGTATGACTATCCATTGCAGTTGCAAGCATGTGCGAAATGCCTGTCATTTTTCAAAATCTTCGTCAATCCCTTCTGTGACATTACCAAGCATGTATTACTGCTGGTGGTTGCAATTTTGAACATTTATTGTGAATACTGTATTGCTACAATGAAGAACTTTTCGTTGATTTTGTACATAAACACATTTTCCTCCCGAGTCATTTTTTTGCGTTCCTGCCTTAACCCGTCACTTTAGACCCTACATTCCTATAAAAAAATTCATGTTTTAGTATGCTCCACCACCCCTCCAAGTTTGTCCCATGATCTATGAAACACCCTGTATATATATCATTATAACAAGAATAAAAACATATTATTGGAATCTTAATTCCCAACTATTCACTGAAAACTCCCTACTGAACTTTTGGATGGAAAATATTACCTCCCTTACCATATCATATATATAGATGATGGGAGGTAAAAATATTAAGAATTAAAATAAAATTAGAACTTCTGTAACCATTTGAGGGCACTGACAGGAATTGAACTATTATTCACTATGCATGGGAGAACAAATACAGAGTCAAATGGGGGAGGGAAAAGTGAAGAATATTTATATATACATTTATTTGCTAATAATAATAATTTTAAAATTTTTATTTCAGTGAAGTACTAAGAATGGAGAACTAAAAAATGCATTTCTACACTTTTATATTCAAAAAAAAACTTTTATAGTCAGACTGCTTATAAAATTTCGGCTATATATGGACAAAATGCTGTTCCTAAAGACACATGGTTTGAGAAAAGCAAGGGTTGAAATTTCAGCCTCAAAGATAATGCCTGTTCTAGATAGCCATCCTCTGCATACAAGGACTTAGTAAAAGTTTTAGTTACTGCTAAAAATCTACATTATACAGTTCAAGAACTATCAGACAGACTAAATATTCCAAGCAGTACAATACATGATCAATTGAAGATCATTGGATATTCTTCACTGGAGGAAGACCACTGGATAAATTAGTGGATATCACTGAATCATTGGATCACAGCAAGCTGCTGCGATATATGTGTACCCTATATCTTAATTCAGCAGAATGTGCTTGCTTGAGTTTCAGTATATGATTCGTTGTCAAAAAGAAATTAAAAAGTTCTTTTCTGAAATGGCTTATTACCGGAGTTCAGAAGTGGTTACTATAAAGTGCTACAAGAAAAAGACCATGGGGTAAGCCAAAAGGATCTTCTTTAATTCAGAAGTCAAACAACAGGATCTTCTTTATTAAAATCCAGGTGGGCACTGCATCCGCAAAATGTAAATGCTTTGTGTATGATAGGACTACAAATTGCATACTATGAACTGCTACCACCAAATCAGACAATATATTCAGGAAAATGCTGTTTTAAAATGGCAGCCTTAAAAAAAGCAAAAATTGAATTAAAATGCCCAGAACTGACCAATTGTTGAGGTGTTGTTTTCCATCACAATAGTGCTTGGCCCCACATTTCTATGCATGTCAGACAGAAACTTACTGAATATCGCTAGTCTAAAATTTTGCATCACAGCCTTCCATAGTCACCCAACCTTGCTCCTTTGGATTTTCATCTCTTCATCTGACTTCAATATTTTGTGAAAAGCCTTGAGTTAAGTTCTTTTGAGACTAAACAGAACCTTGATAACTTCTTTACAAATAAATCTAACAATTTATTTTATAAATAAAATGTGGACACCACATGACTTCCTTGTATGGCTTATTAAATTATACACATTTTTTGCTACACTTCATTTAAACTTATGTCCTCAAATTATTCTAACTTAATTAACCAATCCCTCAAGGCAAGTTGGAAAAGGATACCAAAAATTGCAAATTTTGAAATGAAATATCCCAGTCAATTTTTGTCATATGGGAGTCAAACATCTTGTCAACATCTACGACTTTCTCAAATAAAATCTGGGAAATCACATTAAAAGTTATATCTTGTTTATATATGCTATATGCTTTTGACACTGTCGACTGCAATTAAAAATGGAGGTACACAACTAGAAATCCCATATACAAAATTTCAACATTCTATGGCTAATTGTTTTTCAGTTACGCGAGATACATATGTACATACATACAGATGTCCCAAGAAAAATCCATTTTACAAACCATTTTGGAATAAAGAGTCCTTTATTCTGTCTGCATGTACTGATGTGATGCAAAAAAATTATCAAAATGGATGTTTCCCTGAAATCTGATCATCTAAATTTTTTCGTGATTACCTTACTTCATAAAAGGAAGTAAAAAGGAATTTTTTGGCTGCTAGAGAGATGACAAAAAGGCAAACCATAAAATGGTGCTTATGTAATTCAGTGAAATTTCCTTATATTTTTGTACTGCTTCATTTATATTTATCATGAAAAAATTTAAAAAGGCTACATTTGAGGCTACATTTTAAAAGGCTACATTTGAATATTTGGCCTTTATATTCCTACACTTGTTATTAGTATGCCTGGAAGCAAACAGGTAAAATACTGTATTAGGTAGTTTACCTTTCATTCTAATCAGGAGCAAATGAATGCTCATCGTAATCATGCTCTCATCAAACATTCATCTGTATTTTTATTTCTTAAAATTTATCCTTAAACATAAGGGAGGTATTATATTTAAGGGGTCTTATTTTTTGTAAGTACAGTAACTAAGTGGCTTTTTCATTAAACATGATTCTTTAACATGAATGTTAAGATTTTATCATTATGTTAAATGAGAATATAAATTACTCCCAATTTTATATTGCTGGAATAAGTACATGACTCACATGGAGAGTTCTTTTTTTTTACATCAACATCCAAGCCCATAAAGAAAATATGGAGTATTTTTCCCACTTGTATAATGTAAACATTTCCTACTTGTTTTATTCGATTTTTTTTTTTTCATCTGTGTAAACTGTGATCGTGACAGGTAATTTCTATTGTTACTTAAAGAGTGGTAAAATGAATTACAGTACAAAGTCTAAGATCCAGAATATTGGGACTTCGTTGATTCCAGATTTCTGAAATTTCCAGATATTAGATCATCAATTCTAATCTAGTTAAAATGACATGCAGACATGGCAATATTAGGGTTTCAGTTATTGCTGAGGTCAGATAGAAAAATGCTAAACACCCCATTACCACTCAAAGATCAAAAGTGTGACCATGGCCAAGAGCAATGCAATATCAGTCAATGTATTGTCATGATGCACTTCTCTAGCCAGTAGGTGTTTGAAAGTGACATATAGGAATCTTGGGAGGAAAATCACATCTAGGTCACACTTGCTTTGCTATTGCTAAGTATTATATTTCCCATTACTAGACTCTATAAAGGAAGGGCAGAGAATTTTTTTACAGCTTCTTACATCAGGTCCAGATCATTCTGGATACGGGATTCTAGATTTTAGACTTTGTACTATATTACATGCTTAAATTAATATATTACAAACCTGATGAGCCAATTCATGAGCTATAACAGTAGCCACATGTTCTTGACTTTCACTTGATGTTTCTGAAGGGTTATACAAAATAGTTGTCATACGAAAAGTAACAAGACCCCAATTTTCCATGGCCCCAGGACCAAAATCAGGAATGGCTATCATATCTGTTTAAAATAAATATATTATTAGACAGTGCACAAAGAGAAACACAAAACTATATAACTTAACCTAATGATGGGACTCGGCCAGTTATCCCTGTTTCTGTAAAGGTGGTTCTTAAAATATTTTTAGTTTGCCAAACTCACTGTTAAGAATTAATTGTAATATTTGTTAAGGCAATTATTATTTACTTAGTTGCTAAGTTTAAAGCTAATATGGGCAGCAAACTAGTGCTTAAAATTTTTTAGTCCCTTGACTGCTTAACTCTCCATCTATAGGTTTATTAAGAGGACAAAAATCTTCAATTTATGATTGATCTTAAAAACATATGATACTTTCTAGATTTCTTTCTTTTTCTTTTTTTTTATCAGCAATTGCATTTATTATTAACATAGATTTGGCTTCATTATTTTTAAACAATTTTTCAATAGCGATGTAATACAGAGCATGCAATTGCAGCATAAATCATTTAACAAAACACAACTGACTGCTCACTTAAATTACAAACTCATATGGGAAAAATCAGTAATAAAGCCTGACTTAAGAAATAGCAATAATATCCTATACAATAAAAAATTTGTATTATAGTTTTTCAAAGTTCTAGATTTTTATTTTTGCATTTTCTTAAAAAAACATTTTATGCTTCTTGGCTAATTCAGGTATAATAAAACCTTTTCTAAAATCATATTCTACACAACAGCAATTTTAATAAATAACTGTCTTGGGCTAGTGTTTGGTTACTTTTAAAGAACTTAAGATACTGGAATAGAAACCCTGTCTTCTGCATTTAGTACTACTATCTTTTTGAAAGATCACTTGCTGTTTGCAATAGAAGTCTGTATAGTAGAACTCGGTTACCTAAGGTACATAGGATTATAACTGCTTCCAATAATAAAAAACACGGTAGTAGAGACCATATTTTAAATCATGCTAATTTTTCTATTAACAAAGTTTTCTGAAATAGTTTGTTTGCAGTTCTAAAACTAAATATACATATACTATTATTAACATTTTAGCAACTGCTTTTATTATGAGTTTCCTTCAACTAAAATAATACACACAAGACTTTTTTTTTTAATTTGCAACAAAAGTTTTTATGAAAAAAAATGGAAACTTAATAATTCTATGAAAATTTATGTAAATTGTGAAATTAATAATTTTCTTTAAATATGAGAAGATTTAGTCTGTAGCCAGCCTTTTTGTGAATTGTGAAACTAATAAATTTTTGGAATATTTTATGTTTCTTTAAAGTTTTCTTTAAATGCATGAGACATTATTATTATTTTTAAAGTCTGTTAGCCAGCCTTTTTGTGACAGCTCATACTACAGTACTAAGAATGGAAACATAATAAAATTTTGTGAATAGTTTCATGTTTCGCGATAGCTAATACTACAGTATGAAGTCCTAGATCTGGAATTGTCGGTACTTTGGTAATTCCAGATATGGGATCATTACTTTAAATCTAAAATAACATGGAGAGACTGAAGTATTGAGGCTTCATTTATTGTTGGGGGTCAGACAGAAAAATGCTATTCCCTTAAAATTACTCAAGGGTTGAAACTGTAATCCTAGTCAACATCAATTAATGTACTGTCATTGCTCACTGTGCAACTCCTTAACCAGGAAGTGTCTGAAAGCAATACATAAGAATCTGAGTTACAAAAAAATTATATTTACAGCACACCTGTTTCCTTTTGCTAAGTGTTATATTCTCTATTATTAAGAGATGGGATATTTTTTATATTATTATTATTTTCCCAGCTGGGAGTCTGGAGGTCTAGATATTCAATCAATGTTGGACGTCCAGATTTTTGATTTTTTGTACTGTAACAGCCATTGCACAATCAGGTCAGATTCTGATCAAGAAAAAATCCATAGAAGAAACACTAGAATAAATACTGAAATTTTCTCAAGAATTTAGCACTCATAATTGACAAAATGACTTAACAGTGGTAATTTGATCCTGATTCAAATCCTGGAGAACAAAATGGCTGCTCGGGAGTCTTCATAGTCCTCCCCCCATGAATACAAACTAGTTTTCTTAACAAGTCCTCTATGAAGGCATCTTTTGTATAGGCAGATAACCTCTGTCTGCTTTGCCATAATCAAATGAACCAAAACCAAGATTTCAGCATGACTAATTTTCAGATTTTCTGTTTTGTCAGCATAAAAAATTTAATTGCTTTCTGAAATCTAGGGCATGAATGATTTCTTGATTACTCAGAACTTAAAAACTTGGTTCACTGTTTTCTACATTTATACATTCCAGAAATATGACAACAAATTCAGTGCCAGTTAATTATACGTTTATCTGTAACATTCGTAAACTACATCTTTGACTGTAATACATAATAGAAAAACCATTAAACAAAGTTAAAAAATCACTTGATGATTACAGAATTTGAGAATGTTTCTAATTTTTACACAGTAACCTTTCTAATAGCCACCCAGCGGCCAAGCGATAAAAGCCGCTGAACACTGGTAGTTCGGTTCACCGTTCAAGACTCGGCGAACAGGCTGGCCGCATGGACATTTTCATGGTTTTCACCATGTGTAATGTGGATACGAGCCAGTTTGGTTTAAAAAGACCTCCATGGGGCATCCCTCCCTTTCCATGCAGTGCCTAAGGGCAAAGCATGTAATAAACAAACAAACAAAAAAACCTTTCTAATATTCTAATGTCCTTTAATCACCATTTACAATTGGCCATGATTTTTTTTAATTCACTGCTGACTAAGGTAACAGAGGCTCAGGTAAATAGAGGCTCAGGTAACAGAGGTTCTACTGTATGTGCAAGTGGTTTTGTTTCTAAAGGAATTATCCCTCAAAAGAAGAGAAATGCAGGAATAATGGTGCACACTTGTTCTTTAAAAAGGTAAATCTTAAGTCTGACAGCTCATCCTGCCTCCTGAGGTATGAAAAGAGGGGAGGAAAGACATGCCCCCTTTTCCTTACGGGATATAGCTGTCCTTTCAACCTACAAATATTAACCTACAATTAAATCCATACAATTAAAATGAAAAACTTCTTTTGAAGCATATTCTAATATATCGGAATAAGCATACTGTATTAAGAAATATTTCTTGGAACTTTTATGAAAGCACAGAAAAAGAAAGGACACAAGCCATGATACAAAAAAAGAATTATGTCATCAGATATGCAACTTTTGTAGAAAAAAGAATTATGTCATCAGATACACAACTTTTGAACTTATATATAAATGACAGATCCTACTAAAAGTACTGCTAAAGATTTTTAGAGATGAAAATTTACAGCACTGCTAAGGTGCAGTTCAATTTACCATTAAAAATATCAGCACTTTGGAAATGTTTTTGCATTGAACTAGATTTTCGTGAGCTTGACTAAGATCTAATGACTAGTTACATAAAGTACACTATGAATAATAAATAAAATAATGAAACTTTACTTCCATTCATTATGTGCAAAATTTAATATTATAAAAATGCCTTTTGATTTGTTTAGATAAATCAAAATAAAACCTCTTACCTAATTTGGGCAGAGGATAACTAACATTGAAAAACATCTGATAAAAATGGAGAACATTAGCAGCTGTTTCAAGGGCAAATTCTGCTTGTTCATATTGTTCAGGTGGAACTAACACACGAACCTAATATAGAATAACATAACTATCAAAAACAATTTAATAAGAAACAATAAGATATCATTTATTTTTTAAATTGACAATTTTTACAAAAATGAAAATATATTATATCATAAGCTTCACTTACTATTCTTGGCATTCTTAGTTTAATTTCTCCACATATTAATGGTTAAACATGTGATGATGAAAATCAAAATTTATAATAATGATTGAAAACAGGAAATACAAATTATTAAAAATGATAAATACAAAATACAGACTTTCTCCCTTCACAACAGCAATAACAGAAAGAATAACTTATTCAGTTGTTGTATTAAAATGTTTTGAAGTACTTTCTGACTATATGAACTCTTGCCAAAAAAACAGCAAAAAAAGTATTAGTAAAGCAATGCACCATGTTGCCAAAAAGTATTTATGTGGTAATCCAGCTTAGCATCTTCCCCCAGATGGCTTTCCCCTTCTCTGGATACTTTCTTCAATGTGGACAGCAGGCAGATTATGACCATTCCTATTTCAGGGTTTTAGCATAGCGGTGGACTGCATATAGCAGTTTTCATTGCTTTTAGTAAGATCTTGGACTTAGATTTCTGCACACATACAGCGTAATGTGGCTTGCTTAAAGGCATCAAGCGACTCTTTTTTACTTTTTATTCTTCTCATTTTTGGATTTTGGTGCCGAGATGAAGTGCAATGTCCGGTTTGTGTATCCTCTGATATTTTTAGCAAAAGAAACTGAAGTATGCATGTATTGTTTGGAAAAAGAAGAATATTAAAAAACAGACAGCACTGCATGCATCTTTGTAATTTGTAAAGATACTCATTTAAACAATTCTCTCCAATGTTGTCACCGAGTTTGTACTTTTTAGTTTGGGTACAGATATTCAGAAAATACCTATTTTGACATTAAATATAACTACATTTGGTCCTTCCTTGTTAAGGCAGATACTTGGTCAGTCAGCAAAATCAAAATATTAATTGCCAGTATTTGCAAACTTGTAGAACTAGTATTTACAGTAAACTTGTAATAACTATAACTATTATATAATGTTTAGTGTGCGTACTGTCAAAGCTGTGCATAGTTCCTAATTTGTTCAACTCTCTGATTTTTTTAAAGCAAAATTAAATTGTTGTATATATGGGAAGAATAACCATAATGTATCATATAATACAGAATGTACAATGTTTAATATATCATCTTGATTCAGCAATTCAGATTCGTATTTTTAGTTGCATTTTTCATAGTTTACTTTTCCTACATTGATAATCTTTGCCAATAAATATTTATGTGGCAGCAATATGCAATGTGAGAAAAAGTGGTACTACTTCTTATGTACACAGTGATTTGTTTTCCCTTAAAAAAATCAGATATTGCACATCAGGAATAGCATTGGCACTACCCACATTAAATATTATATGTATTATGTGACTGAAGGTTTTCTCTTTTTTTATTACAGTTTCCATGGCATTTTAAAGTTTTTGCAAAATTAATTTTAAATGTTGACAAATGTAGCTGAAACATTCGTGACAGCCATTTTAACATGGAAATAATCAAAATTTCATATTGTTCTTTAAAACTGTTTGATAAATACTTGAAATCTGTTATTCCTGTTTTGAAATTCAACTATTTATTATTTTATTGTACTTTCATTTTCACAGTTCCATTATTTAGAATGTTAAGTGATGAAAAGAGTGACAGATTATTATTCGAAAACATTAAAAAAAAAAGACACTACAGTCAAAAGTCGTTAATTCGGACACCCATAATCCGGACCTCAAAGCTAAAATCTTTCTGCGCATGCGCATAGGCATTTATGCGTGCCGCGCAAGACCTTCACGACTGCGCATATGCGTCTGCGCAAGGGCAGAATACATTTTCGCGTGCGCGTTAAATGTATAAGGGACGGTATAAGCTAAAATTATCTAATTATCTATTTCAGTTAATGTTGATGATTGCGTTGTTCCTTAATCTTCCAATTGGATCTGGCTTATTATTTTTTGCAGACTGTAAGAGCAATTTTATAAAAGTAAGCTTGAACTTTCGATTATGTCAAATAGAATTTCCTTTATTTCCGATGCTGGAGCTCCCAAAGGATCTACAAAACGAAAGTATGTTTCGATGTCCATCAAACAAAAAGTGGAATTGCTGCAAAAAATGGATAAAGGCATATCCTTTGTTTCTCTAACCATTCCGAAATCTGTTTATCAATTTCACGCTGCTCTGCGCGGGGGGGGGGACGTCGCGGCGCGCAATGAACTGGAAGTTGATCTGTCAGCACTATCCTTATCTTCAGGGCAGATTTTTTATTTTATTCGGCTTATAATTCCTTACTAAATGTAGTATTTTCATCTCGATGTACTCCGTCTTTGATATGATTTAAATCAAATTCCTCGTCATTATAAATATCACGAATACACATCAAATAGTTTTCTGGTTGCAATTTTCTAATTTCGACTATGCGTAATGTATGCTTTAACGCATGCGCGCGTTGAAAGAAATGTTTAATAAAGTAAACAAATAAATATTAAGCATTTTTTTGGTAAATTCTGATACCCTTTAGATCATAATTGCTCTTTATTTCATAAATTACGATTTCATATTTTTAATTTTATAATTTCTGCATGCCATCTTACCAGATTTAAACTGATGATCTATAATGCAGAAAAATCGATAATCCGGAATCGCCGAAGTCCCTACGAGTCTGGATTAAAGACTTTTGACTGTATAATGTAGACAAATTCAGAACTTATTAACCCCCACCACCATCACATAAAACACAAGAAACATCCATAATAAAACATTTACCTTTTTTCCTCCCTCTTTTCCTCATGTACACAGTGCTATATAAGCTTAAAAAACATGACAGAATTGAAGGAACTTGGCATCACAGAATGACTTTTCACTATAAACACTATTGTTCTCTCAATGTACACAGCAATCTGTTTTCATTTAAAAAATATCAGAGAACTGCACATGCTATTTTTCCCCATGGTGATCTATACTATCTGAAATACAATCAGAGAATTTTAAGAAATTCAATATTGGCACACAAATTTTGCTTTCCCTCTATTGTTGGACAAATTATCATATTTCTGAAGAATTGGCATTAAAGATATCTTTTTCGTCAGGTGGCAAATTCCACGATCTCATTACAATTCCTGACTGGGGGGAACACTCATTGCAACAAAAACACATAAAATGTAAAAAAAAAAAAAAAAAAAAAAAAAATTAATGACCATTGCTCCTCTGCAGCACTCTTTTGCATAGCTGAGTTGCCCCATAAATGTATTTTTATGATGTCACAGGTTATTTATTTTAGCAACATAATGCACACTGATTGATGAATTCCTTAGGAATTGGGCAGATAATCAGAAAACAGCATTTATTGTTTGAATGGATGCCAGAAGTAAGGATTACTGTTTCTCCATACTACATGGATATGAAAACAAAGTAAAATATAACCTGACTATGAAAAGCCATGCTGTCACTCCTTGTCATCAATTTAAACATATCCTAAAAGGTGAGAGCTAAGAAGAATATCTTGTGCGTGACCTGTAATCTGAGACGACATAAAATTCCATGAAGTTTCTTTTTGTTGTGTTCAGTTACATTTGTCAGACCTCTGAATGCAGGTGCTTGAAAAAACAGTGCTGTACAGGTTTAAGGTGCTGTATTTCATGGTGATTATATCCTGCTTTTTGAAAATTTTGACCCTTTCTTGGAGGCAGTTCACTTGTAAGTTGCAGATAACCGAAAAGCACATGCTGATTTATTACAGCAAGCTAAAATATAGTACATTCTAAATACTAATGTTCATGGCCATTTAAACATTTATAATAATTAACTGAATACTATTGTATTATAACAGCAATTACAAGCACAGCAGAAATAATGCTAATACTTTTATGAAAACTGTTTAACAAAAAAAAAAAAAAAAAAAAAACAGTAATGACAGTAAAACAATAAAATTTAAACAGCAAACAGTAATATTCAGATATGCACAGTTTTAAAAGGAAATTTTTAAAAATAATAAAATAAAATTACAGTTCAAGGGAGATAGTTTCAATAATTAGCAATTTATTGAAAATCAACTAAAATTTATTAACACTTACATTAATGCCATCAGGATTGGTAGTTTGTCGTGGTTTAAAGTCACATACAACAAAAGCAACCAAGTATGTGCTCATTCTTAAAGTTTTATCAAAAACTGTTATCGATAGCCCATTTCCATATGGAGCAGTCTGAGAGACTTCTGAATTAAAATATGCATTATGATCTTCATCATGTACAATTGTAAGTTGAAATGTAGCCTTCATAGCAGGTTCATCAAAACAAGGGAATGCTGATCGAGCAGCTGTTGGTTCAAAATGAGTAGTTGCAAGATACCTGAAAAAAATTAAGGATAATATATGTGTATGTATATAATTTAAATTAGCAATAATTCTGCTACAAAACTAAGTCAACATAAGTATATTAAGTACTAAGTACATAAAAAAATATCTACATCCTCTTTATCTGTTATCATTCAGCTTATTTTTTATTACAACTAATTCTAACAAGAATTTTGAATAGCATTCCAAAAGACAGTCAAATATACTAAACAAGAAAAACTATTAATTCTGTATAAGTAGACTAAGACATCAGTTGAAATATTTCTTATGCAGGAATACTACATGTATTATTATAAATTCTAACAAAAATTTTGAAAAATATGAAGTTAACTCACGATTAACATTTTCAATAGACAGCAGAACCTGCATTAATCATTCCAGAATTCCTTCCATGTGAAATAACATTCAAATTAATTAAATCTAGTTTTAAAAAAATAAAAAAACTGATTATTGAAAATGGAAAATGGTCAATGATATCACGATAAGAGGTGCTATTACAGGCAAAATAACAGATTTTTTTCTATCACATAGTCAATGGATCAACGTGCAATAGAAGCTATAAAGCAATGGTAAAGTGTGGAAGGGAAAACTCATTTCTTAGATTCTAAACACTGAAAACAATATTAGCAAAGCATTTAAATGCAATGATAAAAGATGCGATTTATGTGCTCCAGCCTGTGACTCTGTGGTAGAAAAAGGCAATCTTCCAAGCTTGCAATAAAATTTTTGAAAGAAATAGAAAAGATGAAAGCAACACTAACAGCCATACAGCAACTGACTATGAATTGATAGACATATTTCAAAGCATGAAAATATGTAAAGACATTGCTCACAGATAACATTTTGGAGAATGGATATACATAAAAACAGTGAATCAGGTGTTCAAGTTTTGGGTGACGAAGAAGTCATTTGCACCTTAGATCCATAGAACAACAAAAATAGCAGTGATGAGACTGGCATGTGCATAATGATGAAATGGTAAAGTATAATATAAAAATTAACCATGAAGGTTCTGAAACCTTGAGCAAAGCTTTTCAAAATTGAAAACAACATACTGATGCTTTTATGGACTTTTTGTTGACCAAGAAACTGGCATGATTGTGCAGCAGCTATACTATTATAGGTTTATCACAAAAGATGGTAAAAGACTTAAAAAAATAAAAATAAAATTACATCTGATAAAATGCTGAAATAAAGATGACAAAATATTATATTGATACAATTCCATTAACTGGGTGCCATACTATTTGACCTGATGGACTACAACTAAACTTTTAATAAAGCATCACATTTAAAAAAAAAAAAAAAAAAAAAAAAAAAACTTTTTTTAAAATAGAACAGTTACAACTAAGTTAATTATCTTGAACCTGTTAGTAACAACCTTTAAATAGTTCAACATTTATAGCAACCCTATAACAATGCATTTTTTAAAATAGCTTCTTTTTTACTAACTTCTTAACTTTACAGTTCCTTTCTAACTTTTTTTTTTTTTTTTGATTAGATAGACTGCACAATCTGGCAATTGCCTCACAACCTGGCAAGACGAAGAGGCAAGCATCCGATTTTCCCAAAAGAATAGAATTTTTCATAAAGAAAGATGATGTTGAAATGTTTATTTGATGAGGTTATGCATGAGTCATTCATCCCAACATAGCTATGTGGTCTACGATCGTGCCAAGGAAAAAAAGGAACGAGGACACAAACCACCTGGACAACAGATTGAGTATTCTTTATATCACTGCTTTACGATTTATACGCTTACAATGTCAAGATTAACATTTGTTTAATTTTGTGAACTTCAGTTTCAAATAAACCATGACATGACTGTTGAATGGACAACTATATGAAAGAAGGGTACACCCTTCATGACATGTCTGATATACGCCCTAATTTCACCAAATGTGGCGATATGTGTTCTGGCTGGTTTTTGGCGCGATTGCGTGTTGTATGGCAACCCTGTTGACATTGAAAAATCTTTCGCTGGAGTTCGTTGGTTCTCGTCATGCTTTGTGTCTGAGAAGCTAAGGGGGAAAGATTTAATGGTGAAAGTTGTTGAATTGAAGTTTGGCATAAGGAAATATCGTCATGGCCATCCTGTTGATGGGCAATGGGTATTTAGAGGTGTGGAAAGAAGGTATGGGAGATTATTTTTAGTGGCTGTGCGTAATAGAAGTAGGGATTTGTGATTATTTGTTAATTCATTTATTTGTGAACTATAGTACGAATTTTCTGGATAGTGCGTCTGGCTATCATATAAACATGATAGTGATTACGTGGTGGCATGAAATTGGTATTTCTGCTGTTCGAAAGGGCATTCATTCATGGTAAGCGCATTTTTTTTATTTTATTCTTATTTTGTAGAATGTTATGTTCATTGTTTTTACTTCCTTGTACGAAGTCAAAAGGAAGTATTTTAGTATGAATTTCTGTCATTATTTGAATTTTTAATTGCTTCAAATTTATTTTAGTTGATTAGTGCATAATGCCTAGATTGTGCAATTCGTACATGTTTTTTAAAGTTGAAACAGAAGGCTGTGTACATGGTATTCTTTGAATTTATTGTTGTTATATTAATTTATTAAAGTGAGGTATGCATAATTTGTAGTTTGTTCATTCGTAGATGTTTTTTTAAGCTATTCGTAGATGTTTTTTTAAGTTAAACCTGTCGCTGTGTACATGGATTCTTATCAATATTTTGTTAGAACTTTACGTTTTTGCTATCTAAATTTTTGTTTCTGTTTCAGATTTTTAGCTTAAATCGTGTGTTCAAAACGTAGTTTTTTGCATGTGCGAAAAACCGCGTTTTGGAGACTTTTAGCTTAAAGTTTCGAAATGTAGACAAAAAATGTAGATAGTATATGGCTGCGTGAAGTTTCTCGCCAAAAATGTTTGGCGAGAAATTTGGCGACTTGAGGGCGCATATCAGAGTAGTTCCGAAAGAAGTTTTTGCAAATACCTTGTTGTTACAGAAAAATGAAAAATTGGAAGAGCCAACAGAGGGGTGCATTTTTTCACCCCAGCTGGTTTCGGTAGGTTATATTGTGAAACTAAAGAATGTTCCTTTATTGCAGCCCCAGATTGAATAGCAACCACTTTGGAGGCCATGACAGAGGAACATACAGCTGATGGTGTTACCATATTTTCTGACTGTTGGAAAGGATGCAAAACTGAAGAACTTAAAAATTCCAAATTTGAACATGCTACTATCAATCATTCACATAATTTTGTGGACCTCAAAACCGGATGCCACACCCAGACAATACAGCAATTGTGGAGATCTGCAAAATGGCATAATAAACATCCATGTAGAGCTGCATGAAACCACTTAGAATCTTACTTTATTGAATTTATGGGGTGGCATGTATGTGCTATAACAAATTTATTTTCAGCAATTGTAAATGAAATTTACAATTTCATGCCTGCAGTGTAAATTAATCTTTTTTTTTTTTTTTTTTTTTTTTTCTTTTTTCAGTGTTATTTTTTGTTCCGCATGTTTCAATTTATTAGTGTGAAATTACTGTAACAAAAATAAAAACCGACCAATCATTTTGGTACCCACCTAAAGGAAAAGTATCATTGCATTTTATGTAAAATTTTATGGAGTTTATGTATTTCAGTTTCCTACAACTTTCTGTTACTAAATAAATGGATGATTTTTTAACTGAAGAAAATCCATTTTATCTACTAACAAAAATTTGTTAAATTTTAATAATTGTACTTACTATAATTTTTTGTACTTGTGCACTTATTATAATTTTACACAAATAATTTCTAAAAAAATCTTTCTAATTAAAAATTTGCATTTGGTTAACTGCATTTTTGATTAACCAAGGTGGTTATAATTTCAGTTATCTTGGATAATCAATGTTCTACTGTATAGCAGTCATCTCTATCACTAAGTATCTTGATTAATTAACTGCATATTATTATTTAATAGCCATATTTTGTGAACTTAATTACTAAAAGGAATTATGTTCAAACCTTTTCTGACCACCTGATGATTTATAAGAACTTATATAAAATCCTTCCAACTTTTCTTCAAGATGCTTTCTGAAATCAATCCATAATGTATACTCTCTGTATGGTTTTAAAGTTCCATCAACTTCAATATATAACTGTTCATGTTTCGGATACTCTAGTCGCTGAGTTATAGGTATCCCTTTTTCATCACCTTCAAGAATTGCGGTGCGTGATAAATTTAATTCTTTTGAATGTAAAACAATAAAATTTGTCTGCATTGTGACCTGAAATGTTATATTCACACTTCCAGAATTTTCGAATGTTTCAAGGTTAGGATGCATAAACAAGCTATAGTGTACAGGCATTATGAAAGGAGGCAGGCGAATATCATGCCATGGAAATATTTCCCCAGTTTTCGCTTTTGGCACTTGTTTCGTGGAGGCCGGAGTTGTGTGTCCAAAATCTGGCAGAACAGTCACAACTGGACACCTTGGAATAGGCCTTGCAAATGATGCAACCATAGCAATTAGAAGTAAAGAAGAAAGCACGATTGCAGTAACACAAAAGGCTTGCTGCTTTGAACATACTACTCTTCGAATCTTGTCAGGGCCTGAATTATCTGTATACAGAACTTGTTTCTTTGCATTTTCACCTAAATATTTAAACACATACGGTGAGTAAAACATATGTGGTATAGAAAGAAAATGATACAAGCATTAAAAATATAAGGATATATAAAAAAATACTATAAAGTTATTCCTCATTACTTTTTCGCACCTCATTCACAAAAATAAGATAATAAAGAATTTATTGTTTTTCATATGAAAATAGTTAGATAGTAATTCTCTATGCATGAAAATAATACTTGAATCAAACTTAGCAAATTACTTAAATGTACATTTAAAGTGAAAAAATTATCAAATTTTACAGACATTTTACAAAATTAGGTAATTTTTAAATTTCAGTATCACTAATACAATATTACTTCAGAAATAAATAACAAAAATTCAAGAAGCTTCATCAGTTTTGTAAATTTGTAAATGAAGTACAATGAAACAATATAAGTTTAATGTTTTCGTACACTTAATGATTTATTATGATTTTAGATTTTTGAAATCACTGAATCATGAAAACACAAAATTCAGTCTCCTAGTAAAAAATTTAAAATATGGAAAGGAAAAATAAAATACTATACCGCAAATCAAACATATAATTTCATAAATAATAAAAGTCTACATTTATCTCTCACCCTCACCAGTTAAGAAAGCTACATCGTCAACTTCGGGTTCGTTCATCATTGTCAATATTTCGTCTCAAAAATTTGCTTTCATGAAAGAGATACAAAAGGCGGAAGTGAGTTTGAAATTTATACGCATTTTTTGTTGCTTAGCTTTAAGTTTTATGAATTTCAAACAAGGAAAATAACAGTTTTCAAAAACATGTTTCGTTTCAGACAGATCGTCTGCTTTCAAATTCTTTCATGTTTACATTTTCCTCGATCATCGGCGGCCAGCAGCATGAAGCGCCACCACTATATTTTTTGTTCGTAAAAACATTATTATTATTATAAATTTAGAGAGTAGTAATTATTTTTCATTTGCGATAAAAAAATTGTTATGTCAAAATTCGCCCCATAAATTTCTTTAGAGAACCGAAAAAGTGTATGAAAGAAGGTCTTAAAATTTGAAGTCATTTCACCAGACAAATTAATTAGTATCAATAAAAAGCGTGATCCAGGAAAATTTCTTGGGTTATTTGACAGGACTAATTTAATGATTTGCCTGTTGCCGAACACTGTAAGTACGAAATTTGGGAGCTCTTTACAGTACGATTCAAAAGTGTAAAGGCAGGCACTTTTCATTCAGAAATATAAATGTGTATAAAAGCGCTCTGCTGACATAAATCGCATTTCATTTCGAGTGGTATGTTTCTCTACACAAACATGAAACTCGGAGGCATGCATTTTACTTATGGACTGAAATCTAGCAATTAATAAAAGGGATATCTTCCAAAGAACGGCTCTCGAATATCTTCTCTGACCAGCTACTCCGTATCTTTATGAAGCTGAATGGATAAAATGCATGTCGGAGAACTCCACATTCGGTTAATGCGCGCAGCTCGAAATACAAACAGGTAATGAAGATTTACACCACCAAAACTTTTCGTCTATTGCTCAGTAGTGCCTTGTATCACCTCAAGAGCCATTTATTTCAATACCTGCACGGGAGAAATTTTTGGTGTGACGCCATGGTGCATGGGTCCGACTCTAGCTCCTTTGCATTTTTGTCGTACACTTTATATTCGACTTGATGAAAATATTAATTATTGATGAAAATAATCGGTAAGATGCTTATTCAAAAATTAATAAAAATGAATTTTAATTAAGAAACTGCATTCATCATAACATCTTTGAAAATTTTCTATTGAAAATAGGACCATTTATCGTTAAATATAGAAAAATCTTCTTCTACATATGGCAGTATCAAAGCTGATGTACTCCAGGGCTTAAGTCTGATTCTATATTATAGATTACTTGTAATGCTTGGCTGAAGGGAAATTAGCCGAAGGGGATTTTAATTGCTCTTAGCATATTATGTTTATGGTATACAGCTGTAACGGTCAAATCATGAAATATAGCAATTTCTGATTGAGATATAGAGGATCTAAGATTGGTGTAGCAAATCGTAAGTTTGCATAAATTGCAATGTAGCGATCTCGTGAGCTAATCAAATGCCCGCACTGCAAGGCAGTACTAATATCAGAATCTACCGCACAACGCCTCTTTTGCCGGAGCGGTATGATATTCAACTACCACACAGCAGATTCAGGATCAAAACCCAAGTTCATTTATCATTTTCAAGGGATTATGAAACTCGTGCACTGCTGCACTTCTCATTGGTATTAATAGATGACGATACGAGCAAACAGCTACATAACGAGCAGCACCAAAGCAAGCATATCATCATGCGATTCTCTCAGCGGCGACCCGAAGAACTATGCATATCCGATAACTGGAGACAATTGACGAACTACATTTTCCATTTTCCTCGCATGTGATGTAGCCTAGCCTCGTCAAGGCTAGGCTACATCACATGCGCTCAACCACACAACCTAATGACCACGCATATGCCAACAGAAAGGAGTCCCTCAATTAGGCTCCACCATGTAACAACGAGTTCAACTTAGTATACTCCCATGCGCTGAATTTGTAGCCTCATTCAATGAACACAACAATGAATCACATGAGCGCATTTACAATTATCACAATTACTACCACAGAGTGGGCTCAATTCACAACACCTATCGCATCTCTTCATGTCGCATCAGAAATGCTCCAGAAGGAAGGATGTAGCTAATCAAGTGCTCGTACTAAGAAGCGACTCGAATATCAGAATTTACCGTGCAAGATATCTTTTGCGATAGCGGTACGATATTCGACTGCCGCATAACAGGCTTAGGATAGAATTCCAAACTCATTTATCCACTTCAAGAGCATACGGAACTCGTGCGCTGCCACATTTTTCATCAGTGCTAATAGAAGGCGACACGAGGAAGCAATTACTTACCGAGCACCACTAAATGAGCAAGCTTTACCAGGTGATTGTTAGAACTGAAAACAACAATTATTTATTACCCACAAAAGCAAAATATTGACTCAAGTCGTCTATTAATTATGCATTATTATTAAACGAAGTTTTCTAAGAAGATCAAAGGCTTTCGTTAGCAATCATATATTTATTTAAACCATACATACCAGACATATATCAAATAAACGATTTAGCAGTTTAACTATGCCTTATTATTTCTCTATACATAAACTATGGTTACTGTAGAACAAATTCGTAAACTTTTGTTTTTCTAATGGCGGGCCGTTAACCGACTTAGTCTTGGCCACTATTAAGGCCAGAAGCGGTGATCATTTTATTATGGATTATTATGGAAGCACCTAATAGACGGCCATCGTTACCTCCTGTGAGGGACACACAATATACATCCATGTCTTCCCCGGGATTCGAACCCGGGCCCTCCGGTATCGCAGTCGCCTTCCCTAAGCACTACGCCGTCTGGACGGCTATTCGTAAACTTACGATATTGTATGAAATTGGGTTCTGATTGTTATCATTAAGAATAATGTTTGCATCAGGAATAGTTTGCTCTACAGAGAACTCGAAGATGATAATATTTGAATTTGAAGTTTAAAATAACTCCTTTTGTAGCCGTAGTTACTACTCGCTTAAAATTAAATTAAAGGAGTCCGATTTCGAGAAGTAAACCATATGGAAATGAGAGGTCAACAGTATGCATTATTTCTGAACAAGCGTAACAACTCTCTTACATCCTCGTTAACCGCAGCGGATAGATAGTGTATCTCCGCAACAGACTCTGAAATCGAAATTGATCTAGCTCACACTAACCTAAAACATGTGCAATGATAACATATTGTAGCTGACCTTGCGTGTTACATATGCCAGGCTGATTACCCTAAACTGGTATCATTAAAGCAGTGATCTGGATGTGACCTAAATTTGAGTGAAAAAAATGCTGTAAGGAAAAACATTTTTGAGCTGTTAATTTTAGCTCTGCCAGCTAAAAGAAATAAGGTATAATAATTATAATCATATTACTTTCTGCTTAATTTTCCTTCATATTCTTGCATATGATGAAAAATGGAGGGAAATATCTCGACAAGAAATATAAAAAGAACTTATAAATGGTTAAATGATCAGTTAATAAAAGTGCTTTAATGAGTTTCTATCATTCTTCACGTAAGCAAAACACTTGTCTATAATTATTACATCAAATCCCACCCAGGTGGTTGCTATATGCCAAATGAAGGGATTATTGAAGAGCCCATACTGCCTATCCGACAAGTACATTATTTTTAGCTTATCATTCTATTTAAAGTTTTGATTAGCATTTTCTCCACTTTAAATATTTAAAAAAAATCTATCAGGATAATTATTAATTGTGATGAATGGAATATTCCTTCTCTCTCTCTCTTTTATTTCTGTAAAAAATACGACGTACTTACCAAATTAATAAAAACTATAATAGTAATATTATTAATAAAAATAATATAAGTTTCAATAAAATGGACACCTTCCTTTCTCAGAGAGTTTTCATAGAACACATATATGCAGTGCCGAATTGAGTTTTCTAGAATCCCTAAAAACTTAAAAATTTTCAAACCATTTCAATAACTCCCCACATTCCTTTATAACTTATTAAATAATTTAAAATGGTGAACGGTGGGTAGCCAATGTCGGTGTTGCCACAAAAGGTCTTAAATAATTAATTAGGTCTTAATAAATTTTACTTTATCTTTTCAGGTATTCGAATTTTTGTTTGTGCAAACTGAGGTCAGTACCTGTAAGAATTCATATAATCAGAGTCCTTGTGTGATTCAAAACTTATACTTTCGAAATGAAGCAAAAGTTATATTAAGACGGAACGGACGGTTTTTTTATCATATATATTTTATTTATAACTGAGAGGACTTTTCCTTCGTAATTTCATATTCTTTGCTATTGACTCAAAACAGATGTCGCCGACTTCTGTCGTTAGAAATGCATTCGACCTGTCTTGAGGTTTAGTTACTATTTTGGAATTTTTAATAGACTTCATCTGAGAAAATTAACACTCACCTGAGCCATTAATGGTATCATTTGTACGCATTTAATTTTAAAAACACGCGGAAACAAATACACACATTTGTAAAGTCACTTTCCGTAATGTCTTCTATAGTTATATTATAAAATTATTGTTGAATTTTCTTCTTATACAATTTTAAACTATGCCGCATAAAGAATCATTCATAGTTGGTTGTTTTTTTATAGTAGTTATCCATCGTTGCTATCAAAAATGCTTTTTTCGGCCCATTGGAATATGCACTCTACTCAGTCATCTCGCGTATCCTCCAGATTTGTCTTCTTGCAATTATTTTCGTTACTCCACAACTAAAGTGTTCTTTCTAAAACTAAAGTGTTTCTAAAGTGTGAAAAAAATTTTTTTACATAGAAGAGATAAAACGAATACGACATTCTTCTAGATTTGTGCCCCAAACAGACGCCTACAAGCCTTTTCTTCAGTTGCCTGTAGTTTTAATATTAAGACAAAAAGTTGCCATATATGTCAACTCTAAAACGTTTCTATTTTTTTAATGCGCTCTGATTACTTAATTTTAATACTAGGAATATAGACTAAGAGTTCGATTACTTGAAAACTTCAATTAGTTGAAGTTTTTGACAGAAAGGTTGTCGAAAATAGCAGTTCTAGGTTAAGTCGAAGTGAATATCGAAACATACTTTTCGAAACTGGTACTAATAACTCCAATTTTTAATACTTGTTTTTTTTTTAACGGTGCATTTTGCTTCAGTTATAACTTATTGAAATTTGATTATATTTGCATTGATTCTTCGCCTTTTTTCATAAAAGCGAAAATCTTATGCCTGATATACATATACCTAAACTTAGCTTCAAACTAAGTATCTATCAATATAAA